TATTCACGCACTGCTGCGATGAACCGCATCGATGCTCTCAGTCCCTCTCCACTTCACGCAGTCGGAGTCCGCGCATCGCTCCATTAACTGGAACGTTGCAGCAGAGTTCCCTCGCAGCAATATATGCAGCTGTCAGCACTGGAGCGTGGGATTAAAGCCTCGGACACACACTTCTTGTGCACCGGAGCCAGAGGTCAGAGTGGATCTTGGCTGAGCTCTGACAGCCGGACTCCCACAGGTGCAAGACTTCAGTCAGAGGGGGGAAAAACTGTCAGATTTCACCATCTTTAGACTGCAGAGGTAAGAGCTGATCACAGTTGGGTCCATTTCACTTCTGGATCGCAGCGTCTCGTCGTCGTTGGTATACTTTTGTGGCATTTTTCTCTGCTTAGCCTTCCTATTTATCACAAAGAGGACACCGTGTTTTATTTTGTCTCGCTCTTTCTCTTTGCTGCGTTGTTATGTCTGTGGTGGGTGAAATGTGTGATAAATCATTCACAGTCCAGAAATCCATCCCTGTCTGTGATGAATAAAGATGCGCTGACGTGAAGGACACCCTCCCATCCCTCACTGCCGTCTCTCTGAAGCTCGGCTCTTGATTTGGAAACTGTCGGCCTTTTTGTGACTGCTCAGCTCTTTCTGAACACAGACGGTGGTATATCAGATCTCAGCAGCGATATTAAGGTTGTGGTAGCTACAAACCTCTAATTCACTCCCGGCGGGGTTGTCCTGTAAATCCTGTTATCCCCATCGGGTGGAGGAGTTGAGGACCAGCTGATGGACTCAACGGACCGATGTTGCCAAACTCAGCACAATACTGCTGTCACTGTCGTTGTCAGAGGAGGTCACAGGTTGTTGCGTGGTGATGGCAATGCGGCGCGTTCATCACGAGACTTTTTGAATTCATTCGGTGAAGTGAAAAAGTATTTGCCTCCTGAAAGATTTCAGTACGTACCATCAAACAGAAGTCGCCTGTTTTTGATCACCTGTCTTGGTGGTAATCTAGTGGCAACCGTTGATTTTCTGCCAGCAGGTGGCATAGCGGCTGTTTTTTTAACTTTAAACCTTCAAACAACATTTCCATCTGTGCATCAGGGAACATTCAGGACCTTTGCTGTCTGTTTTTATATCCCACGGCTCAGGACGGGTATCTTCATTTTTAGCCATATTTCTATCATGTTATATAGGTATTTGAGGTGTTCTATTTCATGTGCATCTGATTTACAAAGGAATGCTTTTATAAAGAGAACACTGTTCCGTAGGTTGAATAATTTTTAGACTGCAGTTCCCATTGGAGTGGATCCTGCGTCAGCATTTTACCCATTTTTTTCCCCTGCAGTTTTGGGAACTGACGGACTGACGGGACACTCTCCCATCACATCCCTAATTCACCGTGAATCCGACCGTGACATCTGCCTCCCTCTTCTGCGGCGTTCGAGCTGGGACTGCGAGAGGGTTTAACATTTAACCTCGCCTTTGTGGGCTCTGTTTATAGCAAACACAAGTTTGAATTTTGCCAGTAAAGTTAATTTACAGTGTGGGTTGAATAACCTGAAGGTGCTACGTTTTCAGCAGAGCTTCAGATGGTTTTAATTGCTCATTTTGTTATCAGTGAAAGTTGCTGCAGGAACTCTTAGACTGTGAAATGGTTTGCTTTTCGTAATCTTTTCTAAATGGTCACATTTGTGCTGCACTGGCTGCATTTTCCCATCACACTCCCCAAGCTCTGAACACTTGATTTTGCTTCAGGTTATCTGTTATCTAAAGTATATATACTTAAGCTGAATGGGTGGTTTTAAAGTTTATGTGGTCCTCTTGCACTCCTTTTTTTTTTCTTTATTCCCCCCTAACAGAGTGGTAGTTAAGTGCTCTGAGATGCAGCGCGGCAGAACAAAACATGGTCACCTTTGTTGGTGTGAGAGTTTGTGGTTCAACAAGGTTTGTGGCCCAGACCCAAGTCACAATGCATGTCAGCCAGCTAGAGAAGTGTCATCGCTGAGGTTTGCTGACAAATTACAGCCTTCTGTAGTGGCAAAAGCCAAGCTCCTGACTGGGTTTGTGCTCTTGGCCAGGGTGAAGGGAAAACTGCTGGGTGAGTGGTGGAAGCGCTCCTGAAGACAATGGTGACGCCTGACGCTTCCCTCATTGCCTAAAAAAAAATTCACATGATACAATAGGGGTTAATACAATGTCTTGGAAAAGTACTTACACTTTTTGAATGTTTTTTTCATGGAAAAGTTATTATTTCCAACATTTTTAACAAGGAAAATTCAGAAAACTAAGGTGTGTATTTGTCATCCCATTGACAACAGATTATTTCACCTTAGCTGGGAATCTCTGCAGCTCCTCCAGAGTATCCTATGGCTAGTCCTGTCACAATAATCAACAAATCAATTAATCACCTCATAAGTTAAAACAAACTCTAATAATTTCCGTTTTCACAATTTATTGTTTTTCTCCTTCTATCAAAACTGGATGATAAAAGTCTGGAAGTTTTGGTCTCGACTAAAACATTTTTTGAAGGATAATTTTGTTTCCTGAGACTTCAAACTTCATTTTACAAGTTGTTTCTGTTGATTTATTTTGGTAATTAAAATGTCTATCAGTTCCAGTGTTAAATGTTCATTTGAATTTAAAGTTTATTTGTCTTTGAGATCTTGCATTTTTATGCCATTATTATCATTATATTACTGGCAAATTGTCTCAAAACAACAATATTATTGTTTACTGCAATAACGTCTGAGAAAATGAATTGTCCAGAAACATTAGTAATTGTGACAGGTCTACCTATGACTCTGGGTTGCTTGTTTGGTTAATCTTAGTCATAAATGTGTCATATAAATTTAGCTCCTATAGATTATTGCCTCAAAATGTGATATATTTCCCCTTAAAGTTGGTTGATGCATTTTTCTTGCCAACAATTGCATTCAATGTACATCTCGAAGGTGGATTTATGCACAATTATTATTATATTAATTCATTGCTCTTTGCACACTTAAAGCTGCAGTATGTAATTGTTTTATAAACAATAGTTTTATATATATATATATATATATATATATATATATATATATATATATATATATATATATATATGTTAGAACTGTCACTATGTTGTGACAGTGTGACATGAGACTGATAATCTGTGAAAACATCAAGCTTCTCCGCCTTCTTGCTGTGGTCGCACCATCATCTGCAGAAACACACTGCTCCCGATCAAAAACAGCCAATCACAGCCAGGAGGAGGGACTTAGCGCTGTCAATCATCCCTGTGTAGGAACTGCTCAGTGTATTGTATGTGCTGTATGCAAAATGAATATCTCTACTTTGATTTCACATCTGCTTTAAATGAATGCTGACAGTAAGTGAGTAAACTTGTTATAGGTGAAAAGGGGTGCTAAATACAAATGCATGCCAAACGTTTTTAGATTTTTATTTGTAAAAACCCCAAACATGCCTCACTCTCCTTCCATTTTATCTTGTTTTCTGTTGGGTTAACACGTTAAACGCTCCCCGCCTCCCCCAAAATACACTGAAAGGTTTGGAAGGGTTTGGACAAAATGTAAAAAAAAAAATAAAGAAGAAATTAAGTGGGGTGACTGCTCTGCAAGACGGTTCCTGGCCTGGCTGCTCAACCCACACTGCATTTGATTAAACAGACTGAATTTGCCAAGTTTTGTCAATTTGAAGCACAAAACCTTTACAGCGTATCGACCCAGACGGTTCAGTTTGCAGGATGAATGCATATAGCTTAATTACATTACTTTCCCCAGCCGTTTCGATTAATTTTTTTCTTTTACCTGTAAGGCAGCTTTCTGTTTGTTAGGGATTTGTACAATTGGAAAGTTAAGCTCATTAGTAAAAAAAATTTTTTCACTGCTTTCTTATTAATGAAGCTGTTGATGTGCCGAGCTCGACAGATGAAATACAGAAACAAAGCAAACACCATGTACTCTCTTTTCCTTTTAAGTTCCCCAAAGTGTTTAAGAGGCTATTGATGAGGCGGAGCGATGAGCCTCGTGATCACTACAAGGACTTTTGTTTTATGGTTCGCTGTTTTGAGGGATTCAGAGAACACAGGAAACCTATTTAAATGCAACGTGGCAATTAACCGCAGGGTTGCTGCTGACGCTGAGCCTCCTGCACAAGATGAATGAACCACTAAAGACAAATGAATCTGTTTTGTTGGTTTGCTCAGCTTTATGTGTGACACCATTGTGATGCTATTTTGTCTTGACGAGGAGCAACAGTTTGGAAACAGCAATCATCCAAAATTCAGTTTTGAAATTTTTTTACGTATGGAAGGAAAAGGGCTGGAGTCAGTTTTGGTGCCCTATCAAAATAATAATAATAATAATAAAATAAATAAAAAAAAAAAATATATATATATATATATATATATATATATATATATATATATATATATATATATATATATATATACTCATTGAAATTACAAATCACAGATACAGATCTAAACATTACCTAGTATGAATTGATGGATGGTTGCTTTAAAACTGTATCTTATATGAAAAAAATACTATACTAAATAATCATTTATAATTTAAATATAAATTTAAATATTTAAATGTATGAATTGAAATAAATTTATAAAATTATTTAAATTTAGGAATTTAAATGCATCTATATTATTTAAATATTTATTACTTAAATTATTTATGATTCATAAATAATGTTTAAATTATTTTATATATTTATTTTATATTTTTTCTAAAAACATCAATTTATTATAAGGTGCAATGTTTGTAAAACATTCACAGTATTTAATAAATAAATATATAAATAAAATGTTGACCCTCAAAACTCTCTGCCCTGGGCTACCGCCCCTGTGAGCCCTTTCTAAAGTCTGGTCCAGGGCGCAGCAAAGGACAGAGCAAACACGCTAGGAAACACATGTAGACCCAAAGTACAGGTAAAAATTTATAGCATACATATACTGTAACAATTTCACCAGTAGTGTAGTTACTTTCCGTTTCATTAAAGTGAATTTCGCAGTAGCTTATCTCGGACAAACAAGCAGTATTAAAGTCATATTTGCCCTGCAGTAATAAATAATCCACGAGCATGTCCCCTTATTAGGTAATGGTGGCACTGATTCAGCTGTGCCTTAATTGTGTTTCCCTGGGGCACATAATATTATCGCTATTGGAGAACAAATAAAGCACGGTTTGTCTTGTGAATATTTATAGTTTGTACACGGAAGAAGGTCATTGCTTCATTTTCTGCACATCATGAATCCATATGGTCTCTGAGTAATTGTGCCAGCCTCGTTTTAGTCAGACGGTCCCTAACCGGAGGAGGCAGTCTGAGTAGCTGATGCTGGATCGCGGAGCGGCAGCAGCAGCTCAGTCAGTCCGTCGCTGCGGTCCATCAGAGCGGAGCGGCTGGTCATCAACATCCTCCTCAACGTCCGCGGAACTCAGCTGGCCGGAACGCTGCTCTGTGGTTCCGAGCCGTGCTGCCCCCGCAGCCGGTCACGACAGCGGCGTTGGAACCTTCGTGGACATGAGGACAGCGTCTAAAAGGTGGACCGGGAATCCCGCACGGCTTCTTTTTTCGCAGAGCGAACGAGAAAGGTGGTGATGCAGCACACCGAGGAGGCGCCTCGGTCACTCCATAGCTTCACAGCTAGCTAGCGTTAGCAGCCTAGCCACACAGCTAGCGTCCCCGGCAGGCTTTTAAAGCTCAGCGTTTTACACCATCAGCTGGGTAGTTAACACAACAGGAAGCCTATACGTCAAAACCGGAATATTTAATTTTTTTTATTCATGTATTTCCTCTGGCGTTAGTCGACATTCCTCCTCACATCTGTTAGCCAGTATTAGCAGCAGAAGTTAGCTTCTCTGTCTGTTAGCTTCTATAGAGGCTAATCAGCTCTCGCAGGCTGGCACTGTCACAAAATGAACTTGGTATTCAGCCTGCGAACACGCCGATACATCGCTGCTCCACGCTGACGTTAACAAAAACCCGCGGTGTGAGCAAACACAGTCTGCGGATAATCGTTTGTGTTAACAGCACTTTCACTGGTTGTGTTTTAGTCTTTTAATCGCGGGGCTGATTTGTTTGATATCCACTCATTTTTGCCTCGAAGTCAAACATTTGCCCACCCATCAACACAATCGGGTACAGCCTTGGATGATGTTTCCCCCCCCCCCCTCATTTTTTTCCAAGTGCACATTCGAAGATATTCGATGAATCTGTCGTCTGTTAGAGTGAAAACGACCGCGTTGTGTTTATTGGGTATATTTCGTACATTTTAATGCACGTTACAACCGCATTTCCCCTCTCGAAGGAGATTGGACATCTCGATTCTCCAGTTCTGTTAATTGCATTTCTGATTTAATGACAGGCGAGATTACAATCTGTACCAAAGTGCAACAAAATCGACTAAAAAAAAATGTTGGAGTCCAGGACTGTTGATCACACATTTGTTGCACAGCCTCCTGATACCTTAAGCTTCTTGGAAATATGTTTGTCATTTTTCTCATTGCTGGAGGATTAAGGATTATTTTGTGTGTGTGTGAGGGGAATCTGACAAACAGCACAGGAAAGGATTGCTTACTATTTTGGTGTTTCATCTGATAAGGGTGGATTTTTCTTGACTTTTCACGGCGTGTTTCTGTAATTTTAAAGTGTTAAACTCTGAACAGGATCGTTCTACATGCGTGTCGCTGTGTGATACCGATAGTTCCCTGGAGAAGTTGTGGAATAACCAAATAAAGCCTATAAATGTGCAACCTCATTGAGAAAATGTCTAAAAATTGAGAAATGATTCTTAACTAAATCTGTGGCACAATTGTTGGCACCTCTGCTGTTGGTACTTTGTGTAATTTCTGTTTTGAAAGGTGCAACACTCGATCTTGAGATGCATACTTGGAGAAGGAACACTTCATGTTCTTGTACTTCGTGAAGAACATGAAGTGCTTTTCTATGCAGTTCTTCTTTCTGATTCCTACCAAAACCACCTGGGTTGTCAGTTGCCAAAAAACTCAGCTTGAAGCCGTTTCACACCAGGGTATTTTGTTAGACTCTGTTCTATTGGGAGGGAAAAGATGAAAATTTAAAACCCTCGTTTGGGTCGGCTCATTTTCAAGTTGCTCTTTTGACAGTGGACCAAAGAGTGCGGGCCGCTGATCGTTTCAGATGCGATCAGCGATCCGCATCGAGGTTCAGTTGAAGGCAGAACAAAACCCAGGCTTTTAGGTAAGCCGGCTTGCAGCAGAATTCAGTTGAGTCTCCACACACCTGCCGACCAGGTGAAGTAGTGAAAGCCTCATGTTGTCATCTGATTTAAGGGGTTTCAGTTAAAGTCCTAGTAGAGGTTAGTAAGCTCCACTTGGTGATCTCCCTTACCTTTAACCTAATAGCCTAAATTAATGGGGCTTTTGTGTCAACGACATATTTTCACCCCAATAATATAGAAATTCTTTAAAGCTAATCATAAAGTAATGTATAGTTTAGGGAAGCAACTTATGATCATTTTGGTAATTGATTATTCTTATGATTAATTGAATAATCAGATAAAAATTGAATTCTGCAGATTTCTCAAGCCTTTTTTTATTCAGTATTCAGAAATACATTAACAGATAAAAATAAACAAATTTCTTTTTAAAATGAAAAAAAAGAAACATTTTATTGCCTAAAATTCAATAACATTTCTACAGTTGATCGTTTGTAATAAAGGCTGCATCTGCAGCTAAAATTATATACTTATAACAACATATGAACAGTTCAGCCTTTTCTGCTCAACTGCACAATATATCTTATATTCCTTTTACAGAGTTTGAACTATACAACTTCAGGAGTTCTAGATGAAACATATTTATAAACATGAGTCTGCATACTCCAGTCAAAGATTAATCGATTGCTAAATTAGTTGACGACTACGTCATTAGTCGATTAATCACTATTAATCCGATTAATCGTTTCAGCTGCAGTGCAGTTATAGTCAAACCATCTCTTCCATCCATCATAATAGAACAGGAAAGGATGACATCCGCAACTCCAGCACCTCTCTGGTTAGAAAGCACCGCGGCTTTCTAACCATGCCACCAGACGGAGGTTTAAGGAGGCGCAGCACAAACAGACGAGGTGGATTAGCAGCGTTTGCAGTCATGAGACTGTCACACAGCAGCAGCCCATTAAAGGACTGACTGCTACCAGAGATGCCCTCCTGCTCACAACAGTCCCATCTACAGAGATACTTGGATGATATGAGTTGTGATATTTAATTTCCCTTTGGAATGAATAAAGTGTCTTTGAATAGAATTTTAATAGCTGTTTTTCAGATTACCAACAACGGTGCCCTTCTGTTATTTATTGGATAAATGTTCTCAAATGGAATGTTGGATTTTTCACATTTCTTTCAGCGTGAGGTTATCCTGCCGCAATAAAAAAGCTAATTACCTTTTGTCAGGAGTGCCAGCAGATCTGCTCCTGCATCTGGTAGCTGTTTTATAAGTGGAGGCCATTAGTAACACCTGTCTTTTCTTCCCAGATTCACCATGACCCGTTCCGTCCCGACCAGTCGCTTCTTTGCCGAGGCGCCTCGTTCCCCTTTTGCTTCCCGACGCCCCAACGCAGGGATGAGATAATAACGCCCAGCAGCCGACGCATGCCGCTACACCACCACCACCTCTGTGGCACCTGGAAACCAACACCCGCCCCTCTGCCCCGCCCCGCCCCCTCCCCCAAGTTGACTCTTTAACCCGACCCAGAAACTATGACGACGCCGGCTCTGCTGCCGCTGTCGGGCCGCAGGATACCCACTCTGTCGCCAGGCGCCTCCTCCTTCACGCACCACAGAGCCACGTTGAGGCTGTCGGAGAAGTTCATCCTCCTCCTCATTCTCAGTGCCTTCATCACCCTATGCTTCGGGGCCTTCTTTTTCCTCCCGGACAACTCCAAGCACAAGCGCTTTGACCTGGGCTTGGAGGATGTGCTCATCCCGCACATCGACTCGCCCAAAGAGGGGAAGCACGGCTCAGGGCAGGTGATAATTCACGGACAGGGAGGACACGACGAGAACAGGCACAGGTGAGTCGAACGGCTTCCCGCTCTGGCTGCTAGCTCTGTGCAAAGTGTTGTGTGATTGGTCAGATGTTTGTTGCCATGCTTTATGCAGAAATGCGCTCGGACAGCAATTTTGATATTTCTTTTCAACACTATACGGCTTTGTATCCGCAGGTGACATGAAAAATGATTAACTGAGGTAATGAGGAATTATGTACACTTGTAAAATTCTTCACAAAATACCTACTGTAACTGTAAATTTTCAGAAGAAATTTTAAAGTGCATCGGTCACACTTGAATCAAGCGTTCTGATGCTGAAAATTAGCAACAGTGCTAAGGTTCGCTTGGTGTCAGCACCGTGGGGTATTACTAGCATGTTGACTAACCATTCATGTGATGTATGGAAAAAGTAGCTCAAATGTTTATATTAGCTGTATGGCTAGCATGACAGCTATCACTGGCATGTAGAGCGACTAGCATGTTGACGTATGTTAAGGAAGAATTTCTAAAATAGTTAACTTTGGAAAAAAGTTTGGCTCTCTCTCTTCCTTAGATCCCAGGTCCTCTCGGCAGGCCACGTGTAGCCACAAGGAAAACAACAATGCGTGTTGACATCACAGAATTACAGAATTTAATCCAATATAAGACAATGCATAAACTTAGAAGTAAGACAATTCACAAACCTACACCAGAAACTGCAGAACAACAGAAACATACATTGATTACCTGAGACAAAAAGATAAAAGAAAAGGCAAAGACGTCTTTGGAGAAGTTGCAAGCGCAAAATCTAATTTGTTACTTCTGTGTAGAAAGTTTTATCCTCTTGTATTTAATTTATTCAAATAAGGCGTACCTTTTCTCCTCCAACCAGGAGCTATCTCTGACCCTCTATCTGAAGCCTAAAACCCCTGCCGTGTTTACAGCCTCTCACAGATGAGTGTGAAAATCTGGTACTTCCACTGTATTGTTTTCTCACAGACAAAAGGCAATTCAAACGATCCTAGCAAACCATCTGCTGTAACTACAGGTAACATAAAGGTCAATAGGCCAGAATAAGTCACTGATTTAAAACCACAATTTAGGCCATTTGAATCAAGACATGTTAAGTTTTAAAACTAGCTTATTTTAAATTTATTTTCTCAACACGTAGGATGTGAGTTATCCCTAGCATGTTGACAAACTCTAACTACAGTTAGTAGTATTTCGGATATCACCATCATGTGAAGTCAGCTAACTCCATGCAGTATGCTAAATCTAGCTAATGTATAAAAAATAGCTAAAATGCTTTATTTAGCTGAAATGCTATTGTTAGCCTGAGGGCTGTCACTAGCATGTTGAGCAACTGGCATGTTGGCACAACCAGTAGGATGTGGGTTATCACCAGCTTGTTGACTAACACTGACTTGGTCCATTCAGTATGCAAACATTAATGTAGAAGCTAAAATGAAATGCTAATGTTAGCATAGTTAGCTTAAATGATGTCAGTAGCGTGTGGGGCATCACAAACATGTGAGCTTACATTCACTTTCTCCATTCACCATACTAAACATGGCTAATATGTAAAAAAATTAGGCAAATGGCTAGTGACTGAGGGCAGTCACTAGCATGTTGAGTGGCTAGCATGATGACTAGCATTGCTTTACTCCATTTAGCATGCAAATCGTGGCCCCAGTAATGGGACTTTTGAACGGTTAATAACTCCTTGATGGAAACTGTAACATCATTGTTCATGGAAGAGGCGGACGTGTGACGCTAGCTCTGGAACGCTTTGTAAGGGAGGAAGTGGGAACCCCCAAGGGTAAGGGGCCGACGTACACAGATCGGGAGGGGATGTCCCCCAGGTGGTCTACGCTGTTGTAAGAAAATGTATGTGCGAATACGAACAACAACTGCCCAGGTTCGGCTAAAGTGTGTAAGGGGCTTTAAAGCTTAAAGCTCAGCCAGGAAAGCGTTTATCACCAGACATACAGGTTTGCTGCGACGGCTGAAAGGTGTGGCGTTGTTGGCAGAAGGATGCACGCTCCACTGAACCTTTCCAGACACGTCAACACAGGTGTTCCCTCCTCCCTCGCCTCTCAGCACATCTGTGCTCTCCTGTGAGCGCTGCCACCTTTTGTGTCTCCTCCGGGTTTTATTGTTCAGGTTCTGAAACAACAGACATTTTATCACCTCGGCCCTGTTCTCAAATCATTTTTTTTCTTCCTGCTGGCAGATCGTGTCGAGGTTTACGAGCTCGCACACTTGTCTGTTTAAAACAGGCTTTAAAATCTGTTGGTTATGAGCTGGATGTTGTTGTTGTTGCATTTGCATGTGTGATTTGGTGTGGCGGAGTCTCTGCTGCTTTGTTGCTGTTCCTCTCTTATAGATGATATTCAGGGTTTTTCCAAATAGCATGTTGTGCTATTTGGAACCCAGAGCCCTGGAGGATGTGCATACACGTCGTCTATCAAGTGTTATTCTTGGAGGAGTAAAATTACTAGTGCAGAGGGTTTTCCTGCAGAAACTAGGGCAGGAATTCTAGTGTGGAATTGCTTGTTTTGTGCATAATTTACCAAAATGCTGTGAAGTTGCAACGGAGGAGATGCCTGCAGATGTCATCCGGAAAAATCTATTGAAATCAGGTTATTTATATAGTGCTGATTCACAACAAACAAGGGCTGAAACGACTAATAGGATTAATGGTGATGAATTGATTATTGAAATGGTAATCGACTAATTCAGTAATCGATTAGTCATTAACTGGAGTGAACAGAATTAGCAGTAATTAAGCCAAAACTTTACAAAAAATGTATACTTTTTCCATTTAAGATGAAACGAAAAACTTATTTTTATAAATATTTTCTACATGGAACTCCTCAAGTAGCAGAGTTTTAGTTTCACCTGGTTCAAATCCTGTAAAAAAAAAAAAAAAAAATAAAAATCTCATATCAAGCACCTTTTGCTGTCCAGTTTTTTAATGGTTTAGTTGATAAAATGACCAACACATCAGTCCTACACTGTACTGATAAGTCATGCAGAAAGGCCTGAGCTTTTCACATGTTGATAAAAATCTGGTTTTAGTTGCAGATGCTTCATTTGTTACAAATAATCAAATGTTCATTAAAGAAATCCTTTGCTATTACATTTAGGCAGTGAAATGCACATTTTTTAATTTAATAAAGGAACAGATTGATTTATTTCCATCTCAATGTATTTCTAATAGAAAAAAGACGATTTGTTAAATGAAAAATCTGCAGAATGGGCCAATTTTCCTTTTATCAGATTAATCAATTATTTTAGAATAATTGATACTTAAGTAACTGTTACTTGCAGGCCTACAACAAAACCATTTTTTGCATAATATCAAGCAGCACTACTAGAGTTATTAGTGTTTATAATGCATTTTGGTGAGAAGTTCCTGTTTTCTGGACGTCCAGTTGCTTGCATCAAGTCGCATCAAACAGTGTGTCAGGAATTCACATCTTGCATGCATATTAATATTCAGCCTATCGAATGGAGTCTCACTACAGTAGATGTCCACCCCTGCAACATGTGATAGTGCCCAAGTGCTGACAGTCACAGAGTGAGCGTCCTAATTGCAGCTTAGAAAGAAAGACATGAGGAAACCGAGGATTTATCGCAACTGATATCATCATTACAGTATTCAAAAGCAATGTTGTCGTTTTATTTTTGAATATTTTGCAGCCCTACTACAATGCCCTGTCTTCTATGTTGAGCTGAGACTCTGGGAGTTCGGTATAATAAAGCTGGAGGATGGTTGGGTCTCTACGGTAATACATGTGGCGTTAGTGTTGTGTTCCGTTTGTTCTTAGACGTTACATTTTTTCCTGTTTCCAGCCGTGAACGCAACAAGATGATCAGCCGAGGTCAGAATCCTGACTGGGAAAAGTCAGAGTCCAGTATCCAGTACGGCTGCCACTCGTATAGAACATAGCGCACAAAACTTTTGTGGCTATTCCACTAATGTCGTAAAAACAAAATTTCGCAATTGCCATTTTTCCGTTCAACAAGAAACGTTATGAAAATCGCATGTAAATAAGTTTGACACGATAAATCATAAAAAAAAACACATGGCTCTATCATCCTTCTGCCACTTCCTGTCGTCGTCTTCAGCTTTTCTGCCGGTAACACCCACTTCAAGGTTTCCCCCAGAAAACTTGTTAACCCTGGTGGTTGGGTGCTACTGCAGTCATTCATACAGCGGCCCGTTGTCTTTTTGAGTTAAAAAATGTTAAGTTGACAGGAAATTTGAAAATATCACTTGATAGTTATGTTATTGGAAGATTGGTGCCTGAACACCAACTATATAAAGTGTTAAATAATGCAAACATTTTAAAAAGACTTTAATGAATAGCAATGTTTAGCCTGGTGAGGGCACAAGAAAAGCCTGGAGGCCCGCCAGGCTTATAATACACTGAGGGAAAACTCTGCAGTTGTTGATCACATGACGGGCGAAATACACTAATTTCAATTTCAAGGATTAGATTGTTGAGTCTCTGACCCCGCCAGCTACCAGTCAACCACTCGGTTACATTGCAAAGCATTGCCTGGACTGCAGTATTTTCTTGAGCTGGACATTTCATGTGTTATGGTTTCCATTATGCATGTAGTTGGACGGCAGGTTTATTTTTAACAAGGGTCTTGATGTAAAGCTTTCTTATTAAGTCTGATCCATAACATTAATCTCATTACGTCCAAAGCTTTTAGAACAGCCACATCCATCAAAGACAGACGTTTAGTTGTGGTGAAGCACAGACTGAGCTGGTAAAAGCAGAAAATTTGATTTATTGTGCCCATTTTTTAAACTGTAATGTCCCTTCGTGTCAACGACATGTTCGGTAGCCATCGACAAGCTTCTGCTATGATTCTGTTTGGTGTTATCAGAAACGGGAGCACTGTTTCAGACTACCATGGATTTAGCTTTTAAACACAGTTTGCAAACTTTTAACCAGGGCTGGTTATAGATTTCCTGTTGGAACACCCACTTGTGTCCAGGTTTCATAAATCTAGCTGCTGATTTAAGG